CAAAAACAAAAAAATGCGTGAAAAACCGTCGTTAATGCACGCGCGTGCACATTTGAATGGGTAATTGAACATGGATTTAATCACACATAGAGCATGTTTAAAACGCTTTTTTCCAACCTCTTCAACGTTCCATGATCAAACGAATCAAATGGTCTAACACCTGACCGCACACGGACAACAGCAACAACAACAAAACTAATATGACAAAAATGCACGAATTGCCATCAAGTGTTGAAATGATTGCAATACAGTGTTTGTCTCGATTTTTTTCTTCTTGTTTGGCTTTCGAAAGCAGGAAAAATCATCGAGATTCGCAAAACATTGTCCATGCTCAGACCGTAATAATTTTCGGCTTTATTTAACCATAGCAATCTCTTGAGCTCACTCTCTCTTGCATTTCATGCTTTTTTAACGGTCATTTGGAGTCATTTAATAAATCATTTTCAGACAAAAAATACTAGTAGCATGTAGCGACCAATGCTGTTCTGTTATATCGCGACAGAGAGAGAGAGAGAGAGAGAGAGAGAGAGAGAAAGAGAGACATAGAGAGTGAAAAAAGCAACGCTCACATAAATGCAATAATTTTTGGCCACAAAGTCATCGAGCTCAGCCTCGAAACAATTTTCCACTTATATTTTCATTTAAGATCGTTGTTTTTTTCTCCTCTCGATTGCCTTTGAATTGCATTGGCTTTTGATTACTTTAAATATGTGCAATAAAATTAGATGTAAGACGATGTTTATGTGTGTGAATACTTTCGTATGAAAGTACAGAAAAAAAAACACGAAAACATGCATATTCAATGGTGCATCGTACAAAACGTGTGTGGAGAGTGAATGCGATAAAAAAATAGATGGTCGATTGAACGAAGCAAATCAACAGAACTTTGATTCTTGCACGTAACTGATATTATATCGCACAACCGCACACCAAAAGTGAGCAACGAACCGATAAAAAAAATAACAACATAATAATAAAACAGCAACACAAAACCATACATCAAATCTATAAGGCTTTGAAATATACATACACATGTAAGATTACGTGAGCAAACACATAATATAATAACATAATCACATGGAGCATATATTTTTTTTCTCTATCGCTAATTTTCTACAAGTGGAATCGATTTTCGCTAGGTTTTCTAGTTTGGCATGCTTTGTGTGTATATTTTGGAGGGCGATTTCCGTTGCAATTACTTTGTGCTCTGAATAGATCGAAAACCTTGACTTGAAACATTTGAGAAACACGCACACACACACACACACAGAGAGAGAGAGAGAGAGAGAGAGACGAAACACGAAATATTTGCGATTATGAAAACTTGAATCATTTTTGCTATCGTCCATTTTCTTGTCACAAAATACACTGCATTTTCGCGATAAACAATGACTCAAGATAAAATTTAGAAAGATTTATTATAAATCGGAACGAAAGTAGATATGGTACAATAGAAAATGGCGAAGAAACAAAAAAATAAAATAAAAAAAACTCGAAAGAAATATTGAAGTAAATGTGATGATAAAAAATGGCAGATAGATATGGTTGTTCCATTGCCATACATTCTCATGTGGGTCGCGCACAACTGCTCATTGTTGAACTGGACAATGAGTGTAATTTTTTTTTGTTCTGTCTTCAGAAGAAATACACAAAGAATTTGCACTTGTTTGTGCAAAGTGGCGATGACGCATTCACCGCTACAAATTCATCGTAGTAGAACCATACGCCTCATCATTATCGTTCAATGGTGCATTAGTCATCAACAGCCATTTACATTTGAAAGAGAGAGAGAGAGAGAAAAAAATTCGCAAAACAATTTAATTCACACAAAAACAATAATTACAACTGAATGCAATGCATAATACATAGTTGTTGATTTTTTTTTTGTTTCGAACTTCGTCTCTGGCAACTTGAAAGGCGGCCTGAGAAATAATCTGAATGCGAATTGTTTGAATTTCCCATTCATAACTCCAATTCTGATTGGGTTTTTTCGTTATTGCTGCTATTCCGCGTTCAGTGATGTACGCGCAATTTACGAGTTCAGTGATTATTAACGAAGCATGTAAAAACAATGTGCGAACACGTAACGCACATGGACTTTGCTAAATAATAATTGATACTTCGAGTTCTTTGTTACGTTTGTAGTGCTACTGCTACAAAATCTTTTTTTTTTTCGCTGGCTGTTGTATCTGCTGGGTTTGCGCTTAGCGGGAAAAAAGGGAAATTTCTAAGAAACTGCGGTGGGCTTGTTTTAAAACTTTCTTTTTTCCGTGTGTCTTGCCTCCATGTGCGGTGTAGTACTACGTGCCGATCAGAACACAGGGAATCGATCGAAGTAAAAAAAATGTCCGGTTTGCTTTAATGACTGATCAATACACTGCGAAAACCAGTTTCGTGTCTTTCTTTATCTTTCTCCAAATGCGATTTCGATATGTTTTTTTTTGTATTTTTTCTCTTCTTTTCATTCGAATGGCGTCAATCAATTAACGGAAAGTGTTTAAAATTTTGCTTGATTTGTCTTTTTGTCTTTCTTTCTCACTCTCTCACGCGCTTTATTTCCCACTGAAATCGAAAAAAGTTTCGATCATTTATATGATCATTTATTTTGAATTGGATTCGTTAGATTTGTAAAGGATTCATTTTTTATTGCAAATGCGAACATCTCAATTTTTTTATTCACAAATTGCGTTTACGATTATCATCGTTTAATGTTCTCGACGTTGAGTGATTGTCGTAAATTTCATTGAATGTGAATTGTTCGTTGTCTTTGGTGTCGTCTGTATAGCGCCATGAAAATCGTATGTGAGTAGCAAATGTTGTAAGGGGAATGCGGTAATTTCTTTTAATATACTTGAACATTTATTATAATTAACAAATACGCGGTCGATGGGCTCTTTCTTCTTTCATCGAAAATGAAACAGCCGTCCACATCATCAATTCATTCGAGTGCAAATTGCTGTTGTTACATAGACATTCATAGAAATGTTTTGGGGCCGTAGATAGAAAGATCAACTAAACAAATATTAAACAAACATTAAAATTGACGCTTCCTGTTGAATAAGACAGCAATGAAATAGAGAGAAATCTCCGACAAAATTGTGATATTTTCTGCGCACATTGGACATGACTGTTTGTAACGACAAATATAAACAAAACGCTGAGCTTACTCGGCCATATAAAAAAAAGGCACACCATCACACGACGAATATGATCACATCATAGAGGCGCACGCACATATATTATTTCATAACCAATTTCGTGTCTCTATTTTGTTTTTCCTGTATTGTGTCTTCATATACAACGTTTTTTGTTTTTGCATTTGCAACAGAGATATTCTGTGGCCAGTACTCTATGATTATGTGATCGACCGACACAATCCGAGTGTAATGAATGCCAATAGAGTGGAAAATAATGTCGCCCATCTCTCTTGGGAAAAATTGATGAGTACAAATAGACAATAAAAAGAAGAGGAAAAAAACGAAACAAATGTTGCATCTGTTCGTTAGCGATGCGGTAACCTAAATGTTCGCTAATGTGAGCTGCACAAATGGACTTTTGAATAGTTTCGATGCCGATGCTAAATTTCTTATTGTTTCGACCAAAAATCGAGCTAAATCATATGATCATACCAATGTATTGGAACTAAGGCGATATGTCCATCTCTCACAAGCGCATCAAATTGTAATGATTCAATTAATTATAGCTTTTAAAATGTATATATATATATCCGAAAAAATGCGCTGCCAATTAATCACCATCAAAGAAATTTCTTTTTTCTCTCTTTTATGTATGTCGAAAGCTTGCGCTTCGCTTATTGGAAGTCAAAGGTTCAATTATAATGGTGTTTTTTTTTTCTTTCCTCAAAAAAGTTTCTTTTTTTTCACAAAAAATCGCATAAATCTTCGTTTTCGAATAATTGACGATGTTTCTGTCGATGAAAAAGCGGTGACCATTTGATTTTTAGTTATCTATTCGTAGATACCATTTTAAAATTGATCATCGTTAAGAAAACGAACAAAAAAATGACAATACGGCGTGAAACAATGACATGGTTTAAAAAAAAATAAATAGAAAAAAGAAGAAAACGAGTTTGTCTATTGATGGATTAAAGGTTATTTTGATTGGCGATACACTAATAATTTTGTCATGCAAAATGCAATAACAGCTGTCAATGGTGTTGATTTAAATTATCTTTTTAATGACATGCCTACTTACGGCTGTATTAACTGGCGATGCTAGAGATGGATTCGAATTATTTGAATAACGCATTGCATCATCACGTATTCATAGGTGAGCGCGTTCGAATAAATCAACACGGTCGAAGAAATGTGACAAATTGCAACGCAATATGCAGGAAAAAGGTCAAAGTTTGAAAGAAAAATGAGCTCTTATGTACCTATTTTTCTAGATATTTCATTCTCTTATGAAAGTTGTACAATTTCATTATTTTTGCCACGTCATAGTTGCGAGAATTTCAATCGAAGTATATTTAAAAATATTGCGTCAAGATGAAAAAACATATGAAATACGATATTGTAAAGCTAAAAAATGCCCGAAATATTCATTGACTTCATAAACGATAATTTTGTGAGTGCTTTTGGCCATAATTTACACCATATATTGTGAATTTGTTTGCGTAAATTATCACATGAAATAAATTGCTTAAAATTGCGTTCAATTGAAGTCGAACCGAAAGAAAACATTCAAATGGAATTCTTGTTCATGATCAATGGATGAATGGGAAATCTTATTTAGCGACAAAGCACCAAAGAAGTTGCCGTACTTTATGAATATAAAGTTGAGAATTTTTTAAGTAAACTAATATTGTGTTGAACAAATGTAATGAATGTTAAAAAATGTATTTGCGTAGTGAAGTGATGATATTGATAAATGTTTAACAATACTAATATACGTAGTCTAACCAAGTAGGAATGTTCAATGTTACATTCAAAGCAAACTAAAACTACAAAAAAAATTGAAGAAAAATAACCACAATCGAATGATAGTTAAATGAGTTGATTTCTTTATTTTGAATTTCATACATTTACTCCAGTTTTAACGTTTCTTTTTATCGCACGCAAGTGCTATGATTTTCCATTCGATGTTTGGGCAAGTTTTCTTTTAAATGCGACTTTGAACTTGTACTTCAACACTATTCAATGTATCGCACAAAAGTTGAATAGGAGTTTTTTTCGGTGCATCTCCGTACAACTCAGCCAATTTTTTTACTTCACTAACAACAGAATCCAAAAATTTAACTCGGTGTGTATTTGGCGCAATTCCCACAAATATTCCATCATTTGTCACATCGGCCATATAGAATCGATGCGGCTTATCCATACGAGCCGGTGGAAAATCTCTGACGGAATCGGTATTCTTATTCGGATTATTTGGATTACTATTATTTGAGATGAAAATGTTAACAACATTTTTTTAATTTTTATGTTATTGGCAAGTGTGTATATTACCCGAATTTAATAAAGTTTGAGAACAATTTATGAAGATTATTCATGGCTTTGAAAGCGACTGACATTTCTTCACTTGCATGTTTATAACATTTTATTTTCCCGTATAATTCGGCGAATTTACTGCAAGCGAATAAATAGCATTGCTCGTCTGCGTGACCGGTTCCGGGGAACATATCATATGGATTTATTTTGGTATGAACTGAAAATCTGGCATCAAATACATTTCTGAATATTTCAGTTTTTCAAAGCATAGATTCTACAATACTAACCGATGATAGTAGGTGTTTTTCTTGGAAATAGCAATATGTCCTTGCATCCATTTTTCAATAGGATAGATACAGTAAATATCGGAATCTAAAATGATTCGTTGTCTTAAGCGCTCAGCATCGGTAGTTGTGGCACCAAAGTAGAAATTTCGAACTTTATTCATTAATAATTTGAAGTATGGCTGAAAATGTTTTAATTCAAATGTAATAATTGAAACATCATTTGATGTGAGTTTTAACGAACCCTTTTTGCAACCGATGTACTGTACCCAAAGATTGGTAGAAACATGTAGAAATTGTTTAAATAATTCTTTATCTCACTTGGCGTACCATAATTTGTATTTTTAGCATAGAACAAATGTTCCTGTATGAAATAGAAAATGATAAATTAGCAAATGACATTCATTAGTACACCATTTGAAACCTACATCCTTGGTAAAAGTGAAATATGCGCTTTTATTCAAACTGGCTGTATTGTGTAGTAAATGCATGGGATCGTCTTGGAAGAACGGACGTTTTGCATTTGAATCTGTGAATAAAAAAAAACGATTTTATGAAAGAATCAGTTTCAACGTATCGAATATGCCAATTCTTAAATTACATTCAACAGTTGGATTCCACGGTGATAAATATCCACGGGCGCTGTCTTTGGTAAATAGTATAATTTTGGCCATGTCAACGGTTTTAAGGAATTGAATGAGATCTTCGTCACCCCGTGGCTGATGTCCATTATGACATTTTCGGTAAAAAAATTCCGCCAAACATCGATGATCTCCCTTCTGATAGTTTTGAACTGTATTTGGTGTTCCACTCACACTCAGCATTTGGTTGAAATATTGCTGTGATTCCTTGTTAAGCATATGGTGCCCAACTGATTGACCGCCTAAAATGTGTGACAAAAATTACTCATTCAAATTGCGACGAAAGTGTCCTTTTAATTCAAACTGCATTCTATCGGTCGTAAAATTGACGAGTTAATTAACTTTGTTTAACTTAAATGATGTACTTAACTGCGCTAAGGCCGCCCAGAGTAATTCTATAGCGATCACCACCAAAAGCTTCAATATTTTCGTAAATCCATTTCATAGCAAGTTGCTGATCTTTCAGTCCCATATTACCAGAATATTCGGGTAAGCCCAATGACATAAAACCCAATACACCAAGTCGAAAATTCAAAGTCACAAGAATCACATCGTTTTCGACGAAAAAATCAGGACCAAAGAATCGATTATCAGCCGTTCCAGCAATATATCCCCCGCCGTGGAAAAAAACTAAAGTCGCCAATTTGCGCGTTCCATTTACAACTGTATGATGAACAGACAGATATTTAATTAGTTTTTTTTTTTGCATTGATGTGAAATTATTTGACCAATTATCTTACCTGGAACATGAATGCTCATATACAAACAGTCTTCACTCATACCTGTAACATTTTTTGCATTTTGAGGGCACATTTTACTTGGTGTAACAGCATTGAATGGTTCACGCCACGGTTTCACTGGCTCAGGTGCCTATGGAATTAATTTTATTCATAAGTTAACGTGTTACTTTCAACAAAAGTATCAAACTTTTGAGATCAGTTCGGCTTCAAACCTTGAATCGAAGATCACCAACAGGCGGTTGGGCATATGGAATACCAATAAATGTTTCAAATGGTCGTTTCTCCCATATTGTTTCTTTTATTTGACCACGTATTTCACCCGATCTTGTTATAACCGTTGGCGGTGCTGTATCGCTCTTGACTAGGACAAATGCGGTTGAACACAGAAGTAATATGACAAATTGCAACATTTTAAGTTCCAAATTCAGTTATTCTCTTTTTTTAGGAGAATATTTCTATTTTTACGATAATTATGAACCTTTTCAATCCAAATATCTATTTTATAGTAATGACGATTCGGTATCGACGATGAAATTTATACACAACATTTTGAATCGTAACTATAGTATCTGATATATCAGAAAAATGCTTGATCTGTTATACTGAATATAAAGTAAATTCTTTGCTGTAAACTTATTACAACTCATTTTTTCGTTTGTAATTTTTGTTTCGGTTTTGTTATTTATTGAAACAGCTTGCTCATCCATCGTCATCACGTTCGTATTACGTATATGATTTGAATTTTCCTTGTTTTCATTATTGCATTCGATTTGATATTATCGACAGATTAGATACGCAAAGAGATGAAGATTTAATCAACAAATGTTCAAAATTCAACTTGAATATACGTATTTACGGTATTTTTGAAAGAATTTTTACAAATAAATATTTTTGCTTTAAAATTTTGCATAAATAAATAATTTATTGGCTTGTAACAAAAATGCTTACGTCTGTGGACCAAGAAATATACAAAATTACGCGTACAAAATTGTGTGGTTGTATGTCGCAAGTAAACAAAGTACTCGTTAAATCGGTAGCTTACGCTTTTGAGGACTCAACCAAAAAAAATGATAGAAAAATTCTGGAATACGAAACATTCCAGTATCTATGAATGAATAAAAGGAGCGAGTACGACGTTTCCCCCTTTGCTAAGCGAAATAAATCCGATATACGGCGCTGATTTAAATGTCACTCTATGTCATTCCACAATGATACATTTTTTGGCTTGACAATATATAAGCTCTTCATTCAACATGCATAATTTTTGAACGGTCGAGTAAAAAAAAGAAACATATCATAAAATATTCTTCTTACGTTTATCATAAAAATTCTCTATATTTTAAATTTATTTGTTTAAAAATAACATTAATTTCATTTTTTTTTTTTTCATAGATTGAACAAGAATCTAATGTAAAAAGTAATACCAATGCGACACCTACCGTTAAAATAGAAAAGGAAACTTATTTGGAATTGTAACATTTTGGTCCGCCATAACAGCATCTTCGTTTTGCTTCTCTGTGATTGGTCAAGTAAAACGAAGATGCTGTCATGGTGGACAAAAATGCTACAATGGATACCAACTAAGTTTCTTTTTGCATTTTTACGGTAGGTGTCGCATTGTCATTACTATTTACATTGGATTCTTATTTAATCGATGAAACATTTTTTGTTGAAATTATTGTAATTTATAAACAAATTAATTTTTTTATAAAAAAAAAATTTTAATAAATTTTTTAATGAAAAATGTTAGAAAAATATTTTATGACATGTTTTTTTTTCAACGATTCAATAATTATGAATGTGTATGCATTTTAAATGAAGAGCTTATATATTGTCAAGCCAAAAAAGTATTATTGTAAAATGACAGAGTGACATTTACATCAGCGCCGTATATCGAATTAATTTCGCTTGGCATAGGGGGAAATATTTTGACAGATAGTACTCGATCCTTTGCCAGTGACATTTTTGAATGATTCGAGAAAACTCAAGATTCGGTTGACGATATGGAAATTTTCCAAAGAAGGAATATGATTTTAACGCAGACATGACGCCAAATAAAAATAATAGTCTTCAAACTGTTGTTGTGCCAATTTAAGCTATTAAAAGGAGTTCGATGTATATTGACCATAAAAAAACAAAAAGAGAAAAAAAAAACGGTCATCACTCTATTCATCGCTTCTCCAAATCGGGTTCACAAAATTTTTTTTCTGTCCAAATGTGAAACCATAGCATATTGCAAGCTAATCCAACCAAAAAAAGAGTAACATAAAAAGCTAAAAATACGGTTACCGTTCGATTTACTGCTTTCGCTCTGATCTGATCTCTATTGAATTTTTATGTTTTTGGTCACTTGAGTTTTGGTCACTTTTGCGCATCACATCAATATGCGCCCGGTTTTTTTTATTACGTTCGGAATTGAAAATTATTTTGAATTTCGTTTTGAATCGTGTGTTTTTTTTTTTTGCTTCTTCAATCGAGCATCTTTTTTTCTTCGTGTTTTTGTTCCGTGGTTCATCATCATGTTCTGAATTCTTTTACTGAATTTGCGTTCATGCACACGTCTCTCGTGTTTTTTTTTTTTGATTCGCTGTATATTTTCGCAAATATTTCATCAAAGGGGACAACAAAAACTCACAATCGTCAATCATAATAACACCAATGATTTGGTCGAATGTTTGGTGTAACTTAAAAATGTTTCAAACAAAATATTTGCGCTTTCCTCTTCATCCATCGTTTACTCTTTTCGCGGTGTGTGACGTACACACGGTACGCTCACGTGTGTGTTTGTGGTCAAATGCGCAAACTTCATAAACACATATCACTAACTATCGTAATTATACCGTTATCCAAGTGAAAAGATATACGCGACAATGTATCGAAATGGGAATTTTTTTTTTTTTGTTGACTGCCGATCTTTTTTGCAAGTGGAGTTTTCGGAGTATGTGTTTTTTTTCTTCGGTGATGTTAATTTTGTTGATTTGTGCGCGTTGAGTATATTTTTTATGTGCGTTTTGTTTCGGTCGATTTGGAGTCCGTTATCGTGCATTATGTGACCTGTATCCCAGCGTCAACGTGCTAAAATCGGTTTGGTGTTTTTTTTCATGTGCGCTTCAGTGATTTTTTAATGAGCATACGCACATTTCACCGCATCAACACTCTTATAGAGGCGAAATGAGATCAGTTCCAATGGATCTTTTGTTGGCGGTTGTCACCGTATAAGTTTTTTTTTATTAATATTACCAAGCTAAATATGACACCATGGCGTATAGCACTCCCTTTTTCGGTGAAATGTGAACCGTATAAAACTCAGATTGAATAAATTTTCGATCGATTTACAAAAGAGAAGAGACGTCAGCATCATTTCACGGCCAATGGCTTTTTGTCAATTTTGATCACTGATAAGAGTTCGCACAGGCATGCTACTGCAATGCATAAAGAAAACCGAAAAATGCATAATGCAATGTGAATGACGAATGACGAATGTAGAAAAGAAGCCGAGAATAAAGAGAAAGAAATTCGTAACACTTATATGTTTACCAACTCTTTTTTTTTTGTTGTGGTCGCACCATTTTTGGGGCGATAATGACAAGCCTTTTAAAACAGCATCGAACAATAAAAACCAATGCCAAATTACCGACATTCGACAAGTACTAATTAATCATTTTTTCGGACTCAAATATTTGATTTGTAACAAAACCATTTTAAATGTGATTTGATGCCCATTAATCGTTTGATCGGTTGAGTTGCCATTTCGAACGTACAGTTTGCACATTTTATAATCGATTGCTTAGGTTTTTTTGGGCTTGTTAGGCTTTTCACTCTACTCTATTGTTCGGTTAATAAAAAATTTTCCGTCCAAGTTTGATTTCAATCGTCAAAAAAAAGAGAGATGAAGAGTGAGAGAGAAACTGAGTGCTTGGCCCTTGTTCAAGTGCATTGTTTTCATGAATGTGTGTGGTTTTTAGTTTTAAAAACAACGGCTCAATACATTCCATTGAATGATCTAAACGATTTTCATTAATTTCATTGCCTGTCGGCACCGAACGAACTAAATGAACCGTTGAAATGCGATTCCAGAAGCATGACAAATGAAAATCATTTAAAATACGCTCCAAAACTCCTAGCCTTTTAAATTCATTCTATCTCTTTCGAGCCAATTGAAAATCGTTCAAAATAAAATGTTAAATCACGTAATTTTTTTTGTTTCATGGCAAACCGAACAAAAAATGTGAACGAAACTGCAAAGTAAACTGGATGACTTTGGCTGTATGGAAATTTGTTGCTAAGTAATTTTTTTTCTCCATTTGTAACATTCATAAAAACAAACAGGGAAATTGTTTGTTGCCGCGCTTGCGACAAATTATAAAGCGCGAAATGAGTTAAATTAATGCGCAAGTAAGTTTTTTATTGAAAAACAAAATACGCTTATTAAATGATCCAAGTGGCGCTCAAGGCAATGTTTTACTCTCTGTATAACTCTTAGTTTTCTCTCTTGTGCGCTTGTTATTTTTTATTTCTTTGCAGTAATTCGTCTCTCGCTTTATATTTATAGATCGTGCATTTTGCACAAGCATCGTGTTATGTATGAAGTTTTGTGTGCGTAGCAGCAAGACGAAACCAAAATTATTGTTACAATTGTCAACAAACCACCTAATCTGATATCTTAGATACTATATTTCGGTGGTCGCGTAATTTGCGTCAGAGCAACTATGTGTCCAGTGAGGAAATGTTTCTCACACAACATACGATCTAAAGCGATTTGTTTGTGGTCATGCAAAAGACCCGTGTATATTGAAATAAATGTGTGTCCGTTAAATGCTTTCGAGATAACAAAAATGATGTGATGCCAGAGAGCAATAAAAGCAATCTCATGTGTACAAATAGCCCGAAGTTCTGTTTAGTCTGTGTCTCCATGTGTGACTGTGTGTGTGTGTGTGTGAGCTGGTTGATTCGGTTTCGAGTGACAATAGAGCGCAGCGCGAAACAAGTTTCTTTTTAGTAAATTGAAATTTAGCCCCGTTAATCTATTCATGAGCTGAGCTGTGTGTCGAGAGAGCGAGTCACAGACTCGATGAAAGAGATTAATCGGTGAATTTGCGGTTGATTTCAAGAATCAACGTATGTTTAACTGTAAAAGATTTTTTATTTAGACCATTGCGAAAATTGTGCAAATTGTGCGTATTTGGGCGCGTTCATTTGCTCAGCCAAACGTTCATTGAATGAAGAAATAGTTTTCATATTTTTTTTGGATTTCGAATCGATTTGGTGTCTTTTTTTCCTCTCTTTTGTTAGGCTAGTGTATCTAGTGCACATCTTCCGCTCATTTTTCTACACTGTGTCTGGCTTCACAGCGCACATATTCCGAATAAATTGATAGCTGTGAGAGACAGAGAGCCAGCATATTAATTCTTTGCTCGTTTCATTTAACTCGTTGATATTGATGTGGTGTGGTGTAATCGTATACAAAAAATATGTGGTGTAATCGGATCTGATTACACACACTATTCGATCCAGTTTAATGGCATACAACTTGAACCCCGTCTGCTTTTGCATGTATGTTGAACTGCTGCTGATGCT